TACGTGTTTGTATACATCAATGACTTCAAGAAGATGAAGTTGGCCTTCTGAGTTCTTTTCATATGCGCAATTGCAGATTAATAAGATAGAATTGTAAATTTATTTCATTTTTTAAAAATAATTATATTGTATCTATTTCATTTCCATTAGTTTACATTTTCAACTCCGCCTACGTAATGCAGTCAATCAGAAGTTCAAATAAAGGATGAGAGTTTTTACAACTTCATAAAGCTTTTGGCAAAATATAATTTTTTACGTTTCATATTTCTTTACAATTTTTCTATACAAATTTAAATTAAGAAAAAAAGTAGTGAGGAGAATCGAGTCGAGCAACTTGGTTCAACCTACTTAACACCTCTAGATAAATTTTTGAAAAATTCAAATATGTGCCAGTGGTGGCTACAGTGTGAATAAAGTACTAGTCAGAGTTGGACGGTGTGTTTAACGAAGGTGATGGACGGTGAATAAATCTTTGATATACAGCATGTTGGAATTGGGTAACATAAGATGTAACTCAGGGAAGTAATGTTATAAAGCATGCTATGCATGTAAAATAAAACATAACCCATGTAAAAAAAGGTAATACGTAACTTGGGTAAAATGTTGTTTCTTAATCAAATGTGACATAGTATGTCACATCTTTCGAAAAAATTTTAATGAATAAGATAGAATGTTTCAAAATTTCTTGGCACGAGAGTTTTTCAAAATTTTGCTTTAAAGTAGGGTATTTGTGAAATGATTGTGCTACATATACATAATGGTTGACATTAACATGATGTGGTAAAATTTAATTGGATCAGAATTCCTTCAATCAAATAAAAAAAATTCAGAATCTCTTTTTAACATTTTATCAGCATATAAATCATTATATAACTCTATTATGTACAAGTGTCATTATTCTTCGTGAAAATTTCCTTTAAAACTTGTAATTGGGTCGGGGTCTCCTTATTGATGGCCCATAATCACTGTTGGGCCTACGCCAAAACTATATGTTACCCAGTATTATCCATTATCATTAAGTACATGGTAAATTGCACCAAAGGTTATACACTTTTCAAAAGAGTGCCATGGAACACCAAATCCTCTGTTTTTATGGTCTAAACCTTTAAATTAATATGCAGTGCTAGGTGTCCCATGGGAGAAAAATATTGATGGAACGGTTGCACCGTCCTACATGGTATGATTGCTGACTGGGAAGCCACCACCTCATGGGTGGCCCATTCTCACCCAATGAGGTGATGTCACATCGAGACTTAATTTATTCTCTCTTTTCACCTCAACTCCTGATGAGGTGGTGGCTCCCCATTTGAGGTTACACCACGTAGGACGGTGTGATCATTCCACCAAAGTTTTTCTCCATGGATGGTTTCAATTCAAAACTCTGTTAGTTGACCAAAAAGTAAAAGATAAACCTTTTATAGACCAAAGTAAGAAAAGAATTTAAAACAAAAGAAAAGTAGAAAATGGTTCCCTACTGCATTTTCGATTTCATCTAAAAACCAAATGAATATTTGGTTTGCGAGTCAGTGGCGACGGGCGCGGAATGGGAAGTAGGTGAAGGAGAGGTAGAGATGGAGATGATCAGATGAATGTGGTAGAAGTAGTGTGGCCATCAAAAGGTGGAAATGGGAAAAGAAGTTTCATTTTCTTTTGAATAGTGCTATTTATTTTCATTATACATAATCAACATGTGATGTGACATCAATAGTGTGTTTGATTGTCAATATTTTTCATGAAAATTGTCACTTTTGCATCCATGTTTTTATTTTTATGCTTTTTGATTGATATTTTTTCATGAAAAATATTTTCTCACTCTTGGTAATGCAACAACATTTTCTTTAAAATCAAGGAAAGTATTTTCTTAGGGAATTAGATTTTTATTTTTCAAATAATTCACTTTCTCTTTCTCTCTCATCTACCTCCACTCTCTCCCATCCACCTACCAATAAAAAAGAACAAGTATAAAATTTTCTAGATTGAAAATAAAATCGATCAAACACATTTATTTGATAATTTTCATGCAAATAATTTCTAAATAATTATCTATAATTTATTTTCTTTCCATGTAAATTTTATACTCGCAATCAAACACATCCTAAATGATAAAACAATAAAATAGGTCAAATATTTACACATTTAATAGACTTGATCATTTCATTGTAAATTATTTGCCACGTAAATTGATGATGATCATAATGTAGGTAAATAGCATTATCCTTTTCTTTTTTTATTATTTTGTTTCTTATTTCTCTTTTTATTATTTTAAATAAGATAATACGTAAATGTTAGGGTTTTTCTGCTCAAAAATGAAAAGTTTGGGACCATATCACTTGTCACTTTTTTGAAAGGTTTGAAACATGTGCACAATTTAGCCCCTGTTTAACAACTATGAAAAAAGAGTTCTTTTGAAAAAAAAAAAAAAAAAAAAAAAGAGTTTTAAAATATTGAATTTTTAGAGAACTACTCAATGTTGAACGTGCATTGCACATTATTCTAAAATACTTTAAAGTGATATAGAAGTAATATTAAGTATCAATTTGTTGGGGGATTCGATGGGTCTCAGATGAATTAAAAAAATAAATTTTAGTATAAAAATTTAAGAGAATAAAATTGTACTCAAATTGTATTATTCAAAAGTCAATTTCTATGATTCAAATTTTTTTATAATGATGAAATACTATAAATGAGCAATCTTTTTTTTTATTACATTTGATACATAAAAATTATTTGTTAATATATAATTTAAAATTTCTAGATACATGAATATGAATAAATTCATCTATAATAATTTTAAATTTATTTAATTCAAGATTAATCAAGTAAAAATTCATTGAATTTAGGTTAATGTGAATGTTAATTAATTGAAAATTAATAACACAAATTTCATAAATAACAATAATTATGTAGTATTTATTACACAATGCAAAGGTATTATTAAAATGAAAAAAATTTAAGTTTACCAGTAAAATATTACGATTATAGGATTTCAAATGAGTTTGAGAGGGGATGGGGGGGGGG